GCACAGTTGCATCCTTTTTTAGATGAAAATGGCACTTTAGACCCATATCAGTCAGGCTACAAAGCTTTGCACAGTACTGAATCTGCACTCTTAAAGGTTTTTAATGACCTGTTTTTAATGACTGATTCTGGAGGCTCTGCCATTTTAGTGCTTTTAGACCTAACGGCTGCTTTTGACACAGTCGACCACACAATTCTTTTAGACCGCCTTAGAGATCGCGTGGGTGTCAGGGGGACCGCGTTAGAGTGGTTTAGGTCCTACCTGTCGGAGAGGTCATTCTCCGTCAGGCTGGGGGACTCCACTTCATCTTCTGCTCCGCTTCACTGTGGAGTCCCCCAGGGATCTATCCTGGGACCCATTTTGTTTGCAATATATCTCCTCCCACTTGGAGAGATTTTTAAGAAACATGGCATGTCTTACCACTTTTATGCAGATGACTGTCAAATGTACATGCCCATTGCTAAGAATGACCACAGCCCCCTGGCACCCCTGCTCGACTGTCTAGGTGACGTCAAGGCTTGGTTAGCCCAGAATTTTTTTAAACTGAACGAGGGAAAAACAGAAGTAATGACATTTGGATGTAACCTCACGGACTTGGGATCACTCCAAAACTATTTGCATCCCAAGGTCACCAGCCTTGGCGTCACCATAGACAGTGATTTTAAATTTGATAAACAGATTAATGGCGTTTTAAAATCGGGTTTTTATCATCTTCGTCTTTTATCTAAAGTTAAGCCCTTTTTATCTTTTAATCTTTTTGAGCAAGTCGTGCACGCTTTTATTTCAAGCCGTCTGGACTACTGTAACGCACTTTACTCGGGAATTAGCCAGAAAGCACTCTCTCGTTTGCAGTTAGTCCAGAACGCTGCGGCACGACTCTTAACAGGGACCAAAAAACGCGAACATATTACCCCAATCCTTGCGTCCTTGCACTGGCTCCCTGTTAATTTTAGAATTGATTTTAAAATTTTATTGTTTGTTTTTAAAGCTTTGAATGGACTGGCCCCTCAGTATATTACAGACCTCATCCAAATTTACCGGCCCTCTTGCGCTTTGAGGTCTGAGGGCCAGCTCCAGCTCGTGGTTCTGAAGACGAACCGTAAAACCAGAGGGGACAGAGCGTTCTCCTTTTGTCGGCCCTAAGCTGTGGAACGCTCTGCCCCTCCACATCCGTACGGCCCCCACCGTGGAGTGTTTTAAATCCCGTCTTAAGACTCACTTTTATTCTTTGGCTTTTAGCACCGCGTAAGTTGTGTGGTCCCCCTGTGTCTTTTTATCTATTTTATTGAATTTTATTTTTATTTGTAGTTTTTAATGTGTTTTTATTTCTATTCAGTCTTTTAAATTGTTTTATTTCTATTTATTTGGTGGAGCTCATTTGTATTGTTTTTGTTTTATTGTTATTGTTGTTCAGCACTTTGGAAACGTTTTGTTGTTTAAATGTGCTATATAAATAAAGTGGATTGGATTGGATTGGATTCCTGCCTCCATACTCCTGAAAATGGCTAAACTGAGGCCTGTTTACTGTATGTCTGGCTGTGTCGCGTTTTGTAAGTAAGTGGTTTCAAGTGTGTATCTCAGTGTTTTCAATCACACAATGTGTTTGGTATATTGAATAGATGTGTTTTCCCAATGATAACACAGGATTGTATTTATGAACAAAGTGTCATATGTATGACAGTGTGTAGTGAGCAGGAGAAAGTGTGTTGCAGAAATAGAAAGCGTGTTGCAGAAGGAGCATCTGTGTTGCAGAAGGAGAAAGTGGATTGCAGAAATGAAAGTAAAGTGCAAAGCAGTACTTTTGTTTAAGGAATGGTTAGACTGTGTTTTAGGTTTAGTGCAAAAGCTTCAGGTTCTGTAATTTTGTTTTAAGCATGTGTCTATAGTGTTCAAGCAATAGGAAAAAAACTGTAATATTACAGTTTTTTCCTACTGCTTGAACACTATAGACAGACGTGTAGACCAAAGTTACAGAACCTGAAACTTTTGTTCTAAACCTAAAACACAGACTGACCATTGCTTAAACAAAAGTACTGCTTTGCACTCTACTTTCATTTCTACAACACACTTTCTCCTTTTGGAACACACTTTCTCTTTCTGCAACACACTTTCTCTTTCTGCAACACACTTTCTCATGCTCACTACACACTGTGTCATACATAAGACACTTTGTTCATAAATGCAATCCTGTGTTTATCATTGGGAAAACACATCTATTCAAAATACCAAACACACTGTGTGATTGAAAACACTCAGACACACACCTGAAAACACTTACTTACAAAACGTGACACACATCAGTCAGACATAAATGGGCCTCATTTCAGCCTTCTTTAGAACTTTGCAAGTATGGAGGAGGCAGGAAGAGCAAGAGGTAGAGGTAGAGGAAGAGGAAGACAAGGAGCAAGAGGAGGAGGACGTGGTCGAAGAGGCCATGTACGAAACATTATATCTGATGATATTAGAGCAACATTGGTTGATCATGTCATCAATCATGGCCTCACAATGAGGGAAGCTGGCCAGAGAGTCCACCCACACCTGAGCCGGTTCACAGTTGCATCCATCATAAGGACCTTCAGACTGGAAAACAGGTATGTCTCCAACTCTTTACTGTATTTACAGCATCTACAGTATTTACAGTACTTTACCGTATCACATGTACTGTATTTCAAGTTGGCTTGGTACATAGCACTGTACCATTGAGATGTCACAGTACTGTGAACAGTATACAGTGCTGTAAAAAATAACTAAACCCGTAGTAACAATTTGTGGTTGCATATTTCTACAGAATGACTAGAAGACCTTTTGGAGGGGGTCGGCAACACATGTTCACTCAACTGCAGGAACCTGCCATTGTAGAAATTGTCAGAGAAAACAACGCAATCTCTCTCCGCCAGCTACAACAAAAGATTATTGCAGATGGGCAAGTATTTGTAAACATCAATGAAGTAAGCCTCACCACGATTGGACGTGTCTTGGCAAAGCACCAACTGACAATGAAGCAGTTGTACAGGGTCCCGTTTGAGAGGAACAGTGTCAGGGTCATAAGACTTCGACAAGAATATGTACAAGTAAGTTTTGCAGTCTTTTACTGTATTGCAATTTATGTAATTCATTACAGTAATAGCTGTGCCATTGTACCAGTACCACATACATGCAAAGAGGGAAAAAGGCACTGGTGTGTTTGTGTTGCAGGGAGGGGTGTGACTCTGTGTGTGTAGTACTGTGTTTTGAGTAATGCCAGCCATTCATGCTATGTATTTTGTTGTTCATCTTGGACATGGATGGAGCTGTACAACTACATGAATTCATCTACATTGATGAAGCTGGTTTCAACCTCAACAAAACTAGACGACGGGGTCGTAACATAATTGGTCAAAGGGCAATTGTGCATGTCCCAGGGCAACGCGGGGGAAACATCACATTGTGTGCCGCCATAAGCCTTCGAGGGTTACTACATCATCATGCCAACCTAGGCCCCTACAATACACAGCAAATACTAGCATTTCTAGATGCACTTCATGATGCACTTGAACGGGACAGACCAGAGCAGCCCAGGTTTGTGATTGTCTGGGATAATGTTAGTTTCCACCGGGCTGCTCTGGTCCACAACTGGTTCGCCCACCATGCTCAATTCCAAGTTGTTTACTTGCCTCCTTACTCACCATTCCTGAACCCTATAGAGGATTTTTTTTCCGCTTGGAGATGGCGCGTGTATGACCGCCAACCCCACGCTCGGATGCCTCTGCTTCAGGCGATGGAAGAGGCATGCAGAGACATTGAGGTAACGTCCATCCATGGATGGATTCGACACACAAGGAGTGTCTTCCCCCGTTGCTTAGCAGGAGAACATATCGCTTGCGATGTGGATAAGATCCTGTGGCCAGACCCAGACAGACGCCGGGATCCATAATGCCACCCACGCACTATTGCCTATAGTTTTACATTTTTATTTATATTTTGTTTACTGCATTTTACTGTACTGTAAAGTATACTATGATGTACAATATTGAGTTAGTATTTTGTAACCTCTCAGTACTTTCATTTTTGTTTGTTGGTAAACCTTTGTTGAGAACAAGAACTTTGAGCTTAAAGTTAACTGAGAAACAGAATAAAAACAGTGGAAAATGAAAGACTAGTGTTTTATATAAAGTACTGTAGTGTTTTATATAAAGTACTGCAGTGTGTTGCTTCCAATCTGAAAGTGTGTTCACATGATGCATGTGTGTGTCATTTTGTCCTCAGAGTTTCATTTTGATAAATTATTGTTTATTTTTGAGAGCAGAGTTTGAGTTTTGAGAACAGAGTTTGAGTTTTGAGAACAGAGTTTGAATTTTGAGAACAGAGTTTGAGTTTTGATAAAGGAGTTTGATTTTGAGACAGATGTGTATGGTTTATGTCCCAGTGTTGTGTCAGGTCATCTTGTGTTTAGAGTTTTGGGACTATGAGCGAAATTTTGCAAAATGTGTTCAGGCAACAGGAAAAAACTGTAATACCATACAACAAAATAAGCCTCATGAGGACAGGGACAATTCAGAAGTCTATTCATGGCTTGTGTCCTTATATTGGACGCACTGTCCTTGATCAGCCGTGTGTGAATCACCCATGATCACTGGTCTCATTCTGCATGCATTAGTGCAGCCATTCCCAAACTCAGTAACACCGAGGCCCCCTTAAAAATCTGACGGGTCTGCGTGGCCTCCCAAAATAATAACCAAGAAGACAACATTAAGAATAGGCTCGTCTGGTTATTTTATTTTGGGGAAATAGCCTCTGCTACAAACATTGTAATACAAAAATGATTACAGTGGATTATTCAAGTCAAATAATGAACACAAATATTTCAATATTACAAACAAAAGATTATAAATTTAACATTAATTTTTTTTTTTTTTTTTTTTATGACCTCCCGCGGCCCCCCTGCAGTACCCTCGCGGCCCACCAGGGGGCCGCGGACCCCACTTTGGGAGACACTGCATTAGTGTATGTGATTGTGTCACCTCAAAAACAGCTTCGTCCAACAGACGTGTCCCAAACACGCTGACCCCTTCAGTGCTGACGTGGGGGTGGTGACCTCGCAGCAGATCCAGAGTCTCCACTTTGACACAGTCCAGAAACAAAGTGACGGAAGGACCTTCCACGCTGTAGGCCACCCGGTGCCACCTGCAGACCATCACAAGTTATCAAGGACCTGAAACTGCAACATATTATCTCTACTTCTCAAACTGCCGCCTTCCATTACGGCTGTGCTCACAATATAGAACACACACAATATTTATATTGTTCCGGCCTAATACCGGATTCCTTTTTATTATTCAAATTGACTACAATTAAATGCTAAATCAAAATACTTCAAACTTCAAAACTGTTAAATTGAGAATTTCAATTTTTATTTAAAACTTTTTAAAGAGTACACATGTATTTATCTATTTGACCAATCAGGAGTGCAGATTATGCATCTACTCTGGCTCAAATAGACTGAATGACACCAAAGACAATGTTAAGAGCCATGTCAGAGTTGGCCAGCACGTGTGTGTGTGTGTGTGTGTGTGTGTGTGTGTGTGTGTGTGTGTGTGTGTGTGTGCGCGCGCGTCCGTCCGTGTCCGTCCGTGCCTGTGTGTGCATGCGTGTGTGTGTCACCCACTTTCCATCAGCCAGGGTGACTCTCCTGAAGGTGGGGTACAAATCTGGGGTGGGCTGGCCCTCATGGTCCTCGTACAGAAAGACAGGAGAGCGAGCCAGCTCCACCCCCAGCTGCTGTGTGCCCTGTGAAACATAGCGCTCTATTAGCATACCATGGCACCTGATACCAATGTTTAAATAGCTAATTTCAATATTCAATTAAACATGTGTTTCTCAATATTTTTCATACCTGAGGATCATAGAGGGAGAAAAGGAACACCTGAGATCCCTTGACCGGTCGAACTGTGGTCATCACAGAGAAGTCTACTGGGAACATGGAATCTGGAAACATTTGAGATGTTTGATCATAGAGCTTGTACCTCTTTAATAGGACTATTATACCTTTTTCAAATAGATAGATCAATTATAGATCAATTATAAACATTTCTAACAATAGTGCGCATGTTTAACTCAGACAGGTCTGTTGTACAGTCTGACAGCCAAAGGAACAAAGGACCTTTTAAAACGTTCCGTTCTGCAGCGTAATGATATAAGCCTGTTGCTACGGTCACTCCTCCTGGATTTACTCAGGATGCCCTTAATTAGAGCTCTAATCTGTCTGTGGTCTAGGTGGACTCCCAGGTATTTGTACGAGAGTACCACTTCAATGTCCTGTCCATTTAGTGTGACCGGTTGATGGGAAGGGCTCCTGTGAAAGTCAATGATCATATCCTTGGTCTTAGACGCATTGAGAATCAGATCATTCCCCCTCACTCCAGTCTGAAAAGGCAGCAAAACCCCCCCCCCCCCACACACACACACATGTCAGCTGTATCATTCGAGTTGTGTGCAAAGTCTGCAGTTTAAATTGTGAATAGGGAGGGAGCCAAAGCGGTACCAGAACATGCTCTTCCCTAATCTGACATACTGTGACCGCACAGTGCAGCAGTTATAGATCCAGTTGGTAAAGATAAGATAAGATAAGATAAGCTTTATTTATCTCACATAGGAGAAATTTACATGTCACATTTGGCATGGATAGAGACACTCAGGCTGAGTTTACACGGAGACAATGTGGCAGTAAAACGGTATAGTTGGATGTCGGTTGCTACCAACCGTTCATACGAAGACAGTGTTCCAGGGGGGTGAAAACGTAAGTGTTCAGATCCAGCCTGCAGAGTGGGACAACTCAGTTACGCTGCACAGCAGGGAGCTTTTTCACACCCGCGAGAGGGGAAAAGGTGTGAAATCCCCCTCTGCTCTGACCCCCGCCTCCGCGCTGCTCCCCGCACGTAAATTTGGACATGCGCAGTAGCGGAGAACAAACATCAACAACAATGGCGCCGCCCACACAAACTAGCTACGTGGGCTTCCAGCGCGGGACAGAGGATAACTCTACTCCTTCGTTCGTCCAAGCGAGACCACGCAAAGCTCTAGGTTCAGTTCACAGCTGCTGTTAAAATGCAGAATGATGTTGGTACTCTCTGAGGGTCTGGCACAGGAAGTGAGTATACTGCCGAGAGGGGGGCTGGGCACGGGGCTCGGGGTCGTGTGTCGTGTTGTAAAGTTTATCTGCCCACTACTGGCCGGGCGCTAGAACTACATCGTTTTTCAACCTCATGTGAACGCTGAGAAATTTGCATTAGGAGCCAGGTCGTTTCTGTTAATAGCCTGGAAACGTCTGCGCAGCGTCTCAGTATAAACAGGGCCTCAGATTGTGCAAAGGGAGGAAATGTGCAAACATGTTACATGCAGGATATATATGTACAATAAAAGTGACAATAATTATCTACAACAAAAGTGACAAGTGTCAATTGGAAACAGTGTCAATAGTAGTGCAGGTTTTCACACAGTGATCATTTAAAGTGACTTATTGTACAGTCTGACAGCGGTGGGGATAAAGGCCCTGCGGTTGCGCTCCTTCCTACATTGAGGGTGTCTCAGTCTTCCACTGAAGGAGCTCCTCAGCTCCTCTACAGTCCTGTGCAGTGGGTGGGAAGTATTGTTCATGATGGAGGTGGCTTTGGCTAGCACCCTCCTGTCCCTCACCTCCTCCACTGAGTCCAGGGAGCAGCCCAGAGTGGAGCTGGCCCTCCTGACCAGCTTGTTCAGTCTGTTTCTGTCCCTCTCTGTGCTGCCCGGGGCCCAGCACACGACAGCGTAGTAAATGGCAGAAGCTACCACAGAGTCATAAAAAGTCCTGAGCAGAGGCCTGCTCACTCCGAAGGACCTCAGCCTCCTCAGAAGGAAGAGGCGACTTTGGCCCTTCTTGTGCAGGGCGTTTGTATTATGGGACCAGTCCAGTTTATTGTTAATGTGAACACCCAGGTACTTGAAGCTGTCCACCAGCTCAATGTCCTTCCCCTGAATGTTCAGCAGCGTGTGGGAAAGTGGTTTTCTCCTGAAGTCGATGATCATCTCCTTGGTCTTACTGGTGTTCAAGCACAAGTGGTTGCACTCATACCAGTCGACAAAGTCCTTGATAACCGACCGATATTCCAGTTTGTTCCCCTCAGACACACAGCCCACGATGACGGAGTCGTCGGAGAACTTCTGCAGGTGACAGCTGTGTGTGTCGTGTGTGAAGTCTGAGGTGTAGATGGTGAAGAGAGGAAGAAGGAAGGATCTACTCCGACCTTTTGGAAAGTCAAAGAACATCAGCCTAACATAGCCTCCAGGAAGGCAACAGGGCAATGAAGCATGGAGAGGACCGCGTCGTCCACACCCATGTCCTCCTGATAGGCAAACTGTAGGGTGTCAAGAGCCAGCTCGACCTGTGGCATGAGCAGTCAGAGTACTAGCCTCTCAAAAGTCTTCATTATGGCCGATGTTAGTGCCACTGGTCTGTAGTCCTTGTATTGTGCCGGCCTCGCGACCTTGGGACGAGAACCAGGCAGCAGGTTTTCCAGCAGGCAGGGACACATCCAGTCTGAAGACCCTCTTAAAGATGGTATGGAGAGGCTCAGCTAACTCTGCCGCACTTTCCTTCAGAAGCCTTGGCATTATCCCATCAGGCCCGGCAGGTTTCCTCCCCTGGGGCTTCTGTAGCTCCAGTCAGACATCCTCCACAGTGAAGAAGGTCGCAACAGTCAGTCAAATGTTCTTATCTTTTTATCCGTGGCGGTCCCTGTGGCGGTCCCTGTGGCGATCCCTATGCCTATCACATGTACTGTGTGACATTAAATGTACAGCGTAATTTGTCTCCACCTCTGCTGCTGTGACCCGTCCTACTCCAACCAGTGGCTACTCCACATCTGCTGCTGTGACCCATCCTGCTCCACCCAGAAGCTCCACCATCTCTGCTGCTGTGACCTGAAGTTACTGTGTATTACTATTGTTACCTTTTTAGAATGACCTATTTTATTTTGTATTTTTGCTGCTACTGGACACCTGAACTCCTGTACTTGATGAAGGACCTCTCCACCCTGGGTGGAGCATTGGTTGTAACTTAAGCACTCTGGCATGTAATAACATGCAGGACTCAGTCATGTGTAAATTAAACTAAACCATAGCTATTAAAGAACAAATAAAATTCTTCAGGCCTTCTGTGGTCTCACCTGGGAAGAGCTGCTTCGTGGGAGCGCTGAGCTGTATCTTCCTGTGGATCTTATAGGACAGGTCGGTTACGTCTTGGCCTGAGCGACTGGTGCAAAAACCGGCCTCCAATGACACCCCCTCCATGTCTTCAGATAGCTCCAGCACCTTCAGCACGTCCACAACATTGACTGCATACAGGAAGAAAGAGAACAACACACTCACAAATGGAACAACCGCTGATAACCATGTTGTGACTAAAACGTGGGGCTGGATTAGGAAAAGGCCTGACAATCAACCAGACAAGCTTTGTTTTGGGCATGGATAGTCAGTTTGTGAAAGGATGAGCCACATAAAAAAATAAAACAGTCATTTGAGATCAAATTACACAGGATTTAAATATTGATATTTATGTACAGCAGTCAAAATGACCATAATTTGCTTTTATTTCTGTTCATTACGCTATATTGGCTACTGTGTTTACACGGCTCGGCAAAAAGAAAAGGTTGCAAGGTGGGTCAAAACAACCTGCCAGCGTGTTTTGGTCAGTGTGAAAAAGGGATAGTGTGTTTGACAGGGGTCAACAGGGGGAAAGGGGAGAGAGAGGGGGAGAATGGAGGGGTACAGCAGTGTGGGATACGGTACAGTGTAGGACAGGAGACAGCAGTGTGGGACAGGGCTAGAGGGGTGAGAGTAGGGGGACAGCAGACCAGATGCAAGGAAATAGAAAACAAAAACATGATTCAGAAGATTCCTCATAGAAAGGATCACATCTTAAAGTCTGTGAATATTCTTCTGCTGACAAAATACTGATGTTGATTCATTCAATTACAGAAGATGGACATGACGACAAACAAGATTTGCCAGTTTCAAATATAAAGGCTCATGTGTCTACTGTTGACTCTTTTGACCTCATGGGTTTGTGGTCCCGCGCATGAAAAAGGACATTCACTTGATCTTGTCCTTTCTCCGTGCATTGAAGTGAACATTGAACCAATTTGTGATATGCATATTTTAGACCATCTTCCCGTTATCTTTAACATAAGTCTGCCAGGTGCAAAAGACTGCGCCGTTATCCCAGTGCACACACGACGCGCGTTCACGCCACTGTCAGTGGAGGATTTCTCTGCAGCGTTTCTGTTGTCAGTTTCTTCCTCGCTCCCTGTCCCGTCCAGTACAGTGAATGTAGAGGTGCTTACAGAGCCATTTGACTCAACCTGTGCTGTCATTCTGGACAAAGTTGCTCCTTTGGTGTCCAAGCGCCAAAAGCCTGCGTCAGAGCTTTGGCTCAACGAGGACAGGCATGCGCTCAGACCAGTGGGGGCGGATCCCGGTTCAAAAATGGAAAGTTGCACGTCTCCCTTGGAATATATGGAGACTGTTTTGCCAAGTATCAGCGAGCTGTCAAGACTGCAAAAGCTCAGTATATGTCCAATTTTATTTCTACAGAATTTCTAAATTCTATTTCTAAAGAAACGCAATGTCTCCTTTCATGCTTATGCTGATGACCTGCAGATCTACCTGCCTTTAAAACCTACCTCAGTATCGATTAGAGCACTGCTAGATTGTCTCCAGGAAGTAAGGCCGAAAATGTTGCAATTCTCAACATTAATGAAACTGAAATAGTTGTTTGTTGCTCCAGCCTCCCTGTGGAGCTCACTGATGCACTTGGTGCACTCTCTGCTCATGTCCATTCATCTGCTAGAAACTTAGGAGTTATTTTTGATAGCACCTTTAAGATGGACAAGCAAATTAATTCAGTTATCAAAGCCAGCTTTTATCAGCTACGGGTCTCGAGCAAAGTGAAGGCTTACTTCCCACCCACTGACTTTGAGCAAGTTATCCATCTTTTTATTAAATCTAGATTAGATAACTGCAACTCGTTGTACTGTGGTCTGGACCTCAGCTCATTAAAGCGACTTCAGCAGGTGCAGAATGCTGCTGCTCGCTTGCTCACTGGGACACGTAAGCGAGAGCACATCACCCCCGTGCTGGCCTCACTTCACTGGCCCCCTGTTAAATTCAGGGTTGATTTTAAGTTGCTTGTGCTTGTTTTTAAGTCGGAGCTGTTATCTCTGTATGCTCCTGTCAGATCAGTAAGGTCCAAAAACCAGCTGTTCTTGAACGTGCCTCGGTCTCGTCTCAAAACTTGTGGAGACCGAGCCATTTATGTTGCTGCTCCCAAAGTGTGGATCAGTCTACCTAGGTTCATTAGAGCAGCTCCTTCATTGGAAGTTTTTAAGTCTAGTCTAAAGACACATTTTTACCCCTTGGCTTTTAACACCAACTGAGTTTTACCATTTTACTTTTACAGGTATGTGTATGTTATTTATGCTGTTTTCTTTTCTTTTTTATCTTTCGTGCCTGTGAAGCACTTTGGGCAGCTGGTACACTGGTGTACAGTGTACACTACTGTCTTGAAAGCACATATGCATCTTTCCAAACGAGAGCACCAGCCTATAGACGTTTATCTCACTTGAAACATGTGATTGTGCATAGTGGCATTTCAAAAGCTCTACAACACAGAAACAAGATAATTGATGCCCAACTTGGCACAGACATGAATGTATCACTCAATATAAAAATACCTTTGCTCCTTTTAAGTGTAATTCTGTGCCAGTGCCATACAAGTTTCAACAAAGACACTCTCAAACTGTTCTTCTTGGGCTGCCAATGTAAAACATGTGCAAGTGCAGTCTGTAAAGCGCACATCACACATGCCTCTGTCTAAATATGTGGCTCCAACCCAAATTGGATCCACTGAAGAGACCAAGATTTATGTCAGTGCATTTACAAAACATAAGAATACGAATACATAAGAACTAAATATTCAGGAAAAGTCATTAGTAATAACGTATTAAAAAATGACGTGTTCAAAATCCCTTATAAAGATGACCATGATTCAGAAAGTTAAATTCAAAAAGGTTTATTTCCCTAATACAAAAATAATCTAAAACAGCTGTTCGGACCAAAAGTAACTATCCCTTATTCTCTATATAAAGTATAAAAGTATAACTTTTGAGTGGGCGCCCCACACCAAAGTCACACACTGTCCCTGGTCCGGTCTAGACTAACACAAGCATGAGGTTATTATAAGTAAATGTGCATGAAGAAGGGGGCGTGTCGTATCAGTCAGCTCTCGGTCCCGTGATCCGCCTTCCTCCATCTAGTCTCCTCGTCTCCAGTGCGCACCTAAAAAGAATCATTCACACACACTACCCCTCCTCAATCTATAGATTTATTAGTTCCTTGAGATAAGGCAGAGGGCTCTCAAGGCTTCTCCTCCAGATTCTGGGCTCCATCTCCTTCTTTCACAACTTGAAAGGATTAGCAGAATCCCCCCAGATTAACTATCATTAACTCACCCATGCACTTTGGACAAAATGGGACCAGAGGAGTGGGGCAATACAAGGTCTTTCTTTTTGCTTGGAAACAGACAGAGTTCAATTTCAGGTCAATCTAATTCACATCGCCTTTTAGTCTATATTTAATACAACAGTAATCACAGAACATCGTTTACTTTGGGCATTACATTGTTTTAAAGTTGGTTGTATGTGAGTCCATCGAGAGACGAGAGATACTGTACAAGGTGCTTACAACTATATACAGACTCTCAAACCTTATTAAGTATGGTATCTTATTCTATTTCAAGCAAAATAACATAAGAGTGCTTAAAGTAAAAGAGCCCCTATGTGAACATACCAATGTAAGAGTGGTGAATGGTAAAAAGTACTGAGACAATCTGATCAAGATAAGTCCTTTTTATTTGGCTAACCCACTGATGAAGACCATGTTGGTCGAAACACGTCCAACTATATTCTGATAAAAGACTGAGCACTGTCACCTGAAAACCTGGTTGCCTGTCACCTGAAAATCAGTTCACTCTCACCTCAGCGCCAGAGTTTACATTCTACTGTGCACTCAATCTGATGGAGTTTTGGTTATTTATTTTGTATTTATTTATTTATTTATTTGATAGGGACAAGTGTACACAATCAAAATGTGAAACACTACAACATTTATAGCCAAGGCTATAGGTTTGCAATGTCCGTCCCTAGGAGGGCTTTTATGCTGCATTTTAATTCTTTTTAAAAGTTACTTGACATCTGGCGCATGCATACACGCACTCAGGGGAGCTACTAAAAACTGTCCTGGGCTCTGGTCAGCCCTGGTCTGATAAGTCTGTGAATAAAAAGCAGACATTATAGCAATTGAGCAATTTAGCCAAAGCACTCATTTTTGAAAATACTCTCCAAAAATAAGTGCCCTGAAACTCCCACATGAAGTGCAGGGGAGTTGTGCAGCCTGATCCTGACTGTTGTGCGTTCACTTGTGTAATACAAAGTGGGTCTATTAAGTAATCTTTTATATACCACCTTTTCACTGCAGATCTGAGTCTCAAAGCGGTTTACAATTGTTAATTTTTGGGCATTTGTCCACTCACTCCACACAGAGATGGGAGCAGGGTCGCCAGTACAGGAGGCGCATTCCAGACCTATTGTACATATTTTTAGCGGTAGGGGAAACCGGAGTACCCGGAGGAAACCTACGCAGACACGGGGAGAACATGCAAACTCCACTCAGAAAGGCCCTGGTCCGACCGGGATTTGAACCCAGGACCTTCTTGCTGAGAGGCGAGAGTGCTATCCACTCAGCCACCGTGCCCGTCTACTTTCTCTGCTGCACTTTAGCCAGTACTGTTTACTGTTCAAAAGCGGTACACAATGGGAAGAAAAATACATGATTCTCCAGAAAGTAGATATCCCCTATATGTGTGTCTTTTGTGTGTGGTACCGTGTGTGTCTTCAGTGTGTCTCCCTGTGTGCGTGTCCTCTGTGTGCCCATGGTGTCTGTCACACAATCCTTACATTTAGGATTCTCTTGTCTTGTCTAAAAATCGTTCTCTGGAACTGTTCAGATAAATGTGACTGACAAGCAACATTGAAAACATTGAAACAAAACCAAACCAATAATAATTAAAAATGACACGCATTACATGATCATAGAAGCTAGCAATCTTCAAAAGGCTTACATTTAAGATAAACAAATTTCTATAGAATTTTTCAAATAGATGTTGTCACTCCCTCTACTAAACAAAGGACAAAAAAGTGTTGGTGCCAGCCTTCACTCCTGTCTCCCTGAACCCCACATATTTTCAAAGTTCAAGCACTCTCTTTTGTACAGTACATGCGCCCACAAGAACTGTATGCCAGAGCAGGACAGAACACCACCTGAACCTCTGATTTAAAAAAAATCTCCCAGACACATTAATCTGAGTTACACGCAGCACACAGATGTTGTGTCTGTCCAAGTCATCACACACAAAAAGTGAAATTAAAAAACACATGTCACCTAAGTTGTTTTTGGGGGGGGGGGGTTATTTACGAAAGATATTCCTGACTACAACACAAGTATTTAGCCAATTATAGCTCCCAAAATGCAAAGAGAGGCACAATCAATACACAACGTTCAAGAAGTCACTGGGTATTTGCTTACAAACCCTGTGCTCAGCTCAGAGACACCTGATAACAAAGGATCAATCCCTCGGAAACTTGAAAGGTTGTAATTTGTTAATCAAATAATTTAAAACTGAAACAATGTTTTTTGTTCTCTCCATAAACAATTTTTTTTGACATACATGTTTTTTCCTCTTGTGATTAATCATTTTTTGTTTATGTCTCTACAAACTATCCTGAAATCAAATCGAATGATTTTCATTGAATATTTTTTTCTGTTAAACCCTTTGCAGAGCAGCACAC